AGGAAAAAGATTATAAAATATAGCATGTTTTTGAAAATAGGTTGTGAAAGAAGGCAAGGAGAGCAAGTTAACAAGAAAACAGCGAGCAAGCTGCCAGAAAGCACAGACAGAGCACAGTTTACAATATGATGTAAACTACAGGCTTTCTTTCAGGCTAATCAAACTCCTTCTCTCAGTCAAGGATTTAAAGTTAATTTCAACCCTCATTTTCCATTCCACGCACATTTCCACCACTACCACAGCTGGAAGGGTTCTGACATTAAGGGACAAAAAAAAAATTTAAAATGTGTACAATTTAAAATATTAAAAAAAAATAAATAAAACTTTCCTGCCTTACTTGGAGGAAGCAATAAAAAAAAGCAAAATGCATTATTCAGGTAGTCCTCCTAGTATCAGCTTAAAATTTTTTTTCCACTACCAGAAAAACCTAATTCTTCCAAACTAGTCTCCAAACATGAGCTTTAAAAACATAATTTTCCTATTATCTTTTTAAATAATGAAAGTTATCCTTGTATTATTGCTCATAAAAAGCAATACCATGACATAGTTTTCATGTATTTATTATCATAAAAACAGTTGTTTAGTAGCATTGTACATTTAGATGCTGTTCCAGATCAGTGTAAAGAGACTTAGTTACCCTCCAAAGCAACCAGCCATCTCAATTCCTAAAATCTGTGCCTTGAAAGAGTCTATAACACTGTTTGTTGAGTCTGTTGGCTGCAAAACCATAGCATGTCCACAATTACTTTTAGTGAATTGATTAAGCTAAATAAACTGTTTTCACAGTTTTAGGTATAAAGGCAAATATCTGAGCATTAAGACATTCCACAAGTAAAAAAATCTGGATGTCAAACTCTGATCGATAGAACTATTTTGCAGAACACTTAAGCACAGAAACAGAGATAAATCAAGCTCAAAGGAAATGCACACATTTCCTGAATTTCTGTGAAGTATGTCTTTCCCACAACACAAATTTTAAGTGCTCGGTAACATTCAGAGGCTTTTACTATTTAAACCGCTTCATTACCTTAACAACTGCAACTTCTGCAAGGGGAAAAAAAAACCGGTCTGCAGCTCTTCGTGCAAACTTTAACCCTAGAAACATTCCCAGAGGGAAGCCGGTTCAGAAGAACTGAATAAAATAAATTAAAACTTCAAATAAATGGTCTTTAGAGCAACTCGCATATAGGTTCACCTGGGTTCTGCACAGGGTACACGCGCAGAGAAGCGACAATTCAAAGCATCAAGTACTATGCGATTCCTTTCTCTCAAGAACGCATCCCAGCAGTACAGTGCGGTCACGGCAGCACTGCCTGGCGTAGCAGAGCAGCACCTTGTCCTGGCCTCGGAACCCCTCCGAGTGCCTTACACGGCAGTACCTGCAGGAGCCCGGTGTTCTATTCTGCCAGATCCAGCCTATAAATTAGTCCTGCAGCACAGGAGGGGCGGTAGAGCAGCAGCACCGGCGGCAGGCCCGGGCCCTCAGCGGCCTCCCTGCGGCCTCCCTGCGGCGCGGTGCCCGAGGGCCGCGCCGCTCTCCCCGGGGCTTCCGGACCCCGCGCGCTCCGCACCGCCGCGAGCCCACGCAGCAGCACGCGCACACGGACCCCACCCACACATGGGCGCGCTCCCGCCGCCGCGGTCCCGCTGACCCACCGCAACCAATCCCCGCCCGGAGCGGCCTCTGCCGCAGCCAATCCGCGACCGCAGCGGCAGCAGCCGCCTCACGTCACAGACCGCCGCCTCGCCGTCCCCGCCCGCGCTCCTTCCCCCCGGCGCTACTGGTGGATGATGTAACTCCACTCCACGTTGCAGCACAAAATCCTGGCCTTTGTAAATTACAGCATTAACAACTGTTTAGTCTAGCCCCAGACTAGTTCAGACAGCCCTACCCAAAGCACAAGCTGCTGAGCCATCTCCCACAGCGGCCTCCCTTAACCTCGGTTCTCCTCGCTCTCACACGTTTGCAGTCGGGTGCCCAGCAGATGAAAGGGGTCTGCAGCCAATCTTCTGAGACTGGCTTTAGCTCCTTAGGCCGTTTACATCCTTTCTTTTCTCCACTGCAGCCCAGACCTCTTCACAAGTGCAAGAGTGCTGGCTTTGCTCTCCACTTAGCTCCCATATCCCATTTGAATCCACTTCTAAATTAAGGGAATCGGGGTAATTTAGAACCATAGAATATCCTGAGTACTGAAGGACCCACAGGGATCATGAAGTCCAGCTCCTGGCCCTGCACAGGACAGCCCCAACCATCACACCACATGCCTGAGAGTTGTCCAAATGCTTCCTGAGCTCTGTCAACCTTGGGCCCATGACCAGTGCTTGACCACCTCTAGGGAAAGAACCTTTTCCTGATGTGCATCCTAAACCTCCCTTGACACAGCTCCAGCGGTTTTCTCAGGTCCTGTCACTGGTCACAGAGAGCAGAGGTCATTGTCTTGTCCTTCCCCTGCCCCTTGGGAGGAAGCTGCAGAGTGCAATGATGTCTCCCCTCAGACTCCTCCAGACTGAACAAGCCAAGTGTGCTCAACAGCTCCTCATATGGCTTTCCCTGGAGACCTGTCACCATCTTTGTAGCCCTCTTTTGGATGCTCTCCAATAGCTCTGTATCTTACTTATGATGCCAGAACCACACACAGTAGGTATCACCTGTGTTATAAATGAGAAGATTGACTAGGCCAATATTCAAGCAGCTATCAATTTATTAATTAATATGGTAAAGTATGAGCAATACAGCACTCGGTACAGCGGGGGAAGTTTTCCCTCCAACTGCACGCCGATAGTTGGGGCTTACAGATATTTATAGGGGTACTCATAAGCTTTCTCAGCAGTTTCTATTCCAAATTTTTACATCACAATTCTATACACTATTGTGATTTAGTTTTTTTCAGGATGTATCTCAGAAAAGAGTATCCCCAGATGGTGGGGTCTGACTTCCAAAAGAAGTCTCCCAGCTGGTGAGGTCCAGATTCCAGATGCGGGTTCACCTTTTAATTGCGAGGACTATAAATCTCATAATAGTGATGTCCAGCTTCCCTTGGTCGAAAATATCAGTCCTTGAGTTGATGTTCATCTTCCTTTCTCAAGCTGCTTTTCAATATTTTGTTAAGGCGTCGAGATAAGCGTATTTCCTTTTTATATATTCTAAAACTATAGTTTCAAAGATCCTTACTACAAGCAATATTCTAAAATTATACTTCAAAAGGTTATTATTGCAAAACTCTTTCTTAGCTACAAGCAGAAAGTTCCTGTCAAACAGCAACATCTTTAAAGCTTTAATTTGAATGCTCCTAAATCAACTTAAGACTTATAAAGGTTAATTGCAAACAAAGAATAGGTTCAAAGGCCTTCTTCCATGCTTTACTTCCTCAGTTATTTATTAGAATTGTCTTTATAACTGTCCCATGGTTGGTTTCCACACATATCACAATCACAGATAGACACGTTTCCTGTATGTACCTGACACAAAACACAGCTTTGTATTTCACACCTGCACACATTTAGGAATTTGGAAAACACCTTTAACATTACTGAGTCCAACCACAAGCCTAATGCCATCAAGTCCACCAATCCCTGCCTGCAGTGGCCTTGGATGCAGCCAATCCACAACCGTGGTGGCCCTAATCCAACCCTAAGTGTCACATCTACACAGCCAGGAAAAGCACTGCCAGGGGCACTGCCGGGTGCTCTAGATCCCTCCAGGGATGGTGACTCTACCACTGCTGTGAGCAGTGAAAGGTGCCAGTTTCTGTGAAGACGTTTTTCCTAATATCCAACCTGAACCTCCCTTGGCACTTCTTGAGGCCATTTCCTCTCATCCTGTTACTGGTTCTGGGGGAACAGAGCCAGACTCCCACCTGGCTGCATTCTCCTGTCAGGGAGGATGGTACAGAGCAAGAAGTTTTCCCCCTGAGCCTCCTTTTGTTCAGGCTGTACCCCCTCAGCTACCTCAGCTTCTCCTCATGAGACTTGTGCTCCACACCCTTCCCTAGCTCCATTCCCTACTCTGGACACGCTCTAGTCCCTCACTGTCCTTCTTACAAAACTGGCTTCAAGATTAAAGCTGTAGGCCTCACCAGTGCCCAGTGAAGGGCAATGGTCACTAACCTGGGCATGTGGCCACACCATGGCTGATACAAGCCAGATGCCATTGGTGTTCTTTGTCACCTGGGCTCATTTTCAGCCAGTTGACCAGCACACCTGGCCCTTTCCTGTCATTCTTCCCCCAGCCTGGAGCACTCCATGGGGCTGTTGTCACCCACGGGCAGGACCAGCACTTCACCTTGTTGACCCTCATACCACTGGTCTTGGCCCATCAATTCAGCCTGTCCAGATCCTTCTAGAGAGCCTTCCTGCACTACAGCAGATAAACACTCCTGCCCTGCCCAACTCAGTGTCATCTTCAAGTACTCATCACTGCAATTGGCAGAAAGCACAAATCTACAGCTTTTCATGTTCAAAGACACCACCAAATCCACCGTAGTCCTCCAGTTTAACTCAGACACTAGTTATACTGTTTCCTGTCCTCACCTATATTATCATTATTATATTCCTATTAGAAGTCAAACAAATCCCAACAGTATCAATTCCCATATTGTTGCAAGGGAGTTATTATGTGGGCTATTTTTGTTTATTTGTTTGGGGGGCTGTTTATTTTTTAGTTTTGTTTTGGTTTTTTAAATTGTAAGCATCACCTTCTGGGATCGGGAAACAATCTTAAATTAAGGTGTCAAAATTGCAGAGAAAACTTCACAAAGAATGAAGAATATTCAAGCGGTGGGAAGTGGAGTTTAAGATGTTTGGAAAAACTTCACTGTCTCAAGAATTAATAGAAAATCCAACTCACAATTATCTGACATTAACATATCACTCTCTCCAAACAAGGGAAACAACTCCGCCAGCTCCCACTAAAAAGAAGAAAAAATACCAAAACCACAAGATTCTCCCCATCCTTCTCCCCCCAAAAACCCCAAACAACAAAAAACACCATACCGCAAAAATAAGGTCATCACTTTATTAGAAGACTATTTGGAGATCATTACTTTGCCAGAAGTGGAATTTGGTTTAATCATCATAATGCACATAAGCCCTGCTCTCCCCTCCTCCCCACTCCAACTATTAGCAATTGCAGAGTAAAACCAATGACAACACCAGAATGTTGGTCACTCACAAAAAAAACCCAGAATGGTAACTAAAGGTGTATCACAACAGACGACTTTTTTTTTTTTTTAATTAAGACAAGCCCTTTTTTTATATCAAGTCAAGCCTTTCAGCAGGTGGACTTTGTGATCCTTGTAGGTCTCTTCCAACACAGAATATTGTGATTCATTTTGAAAAGCTAACAAGAAATGGAAATGGTCTCATTTTAAGCTCACCTGGCCAATTTTTAGCATATACAACTTCTACAAAATGTGCTTCCAAATAAAAAGCAACAAGTTCCCCATAACCATTGCAGATACTGAGGAGCTGCTTTTCTTTTTCAGATACTCAAATAGGTATCGAATTGGTAAGAGAAAATGCATACAAAATAAATCAGTACTTTCATTTGCTACATGAAACCAGTAGTTTTTATGGAAGGATCCTTGTTAGTGGCAGGGAATTCTAGATTTCCTATGTTGTCAGCAGTTACTTACCTTAGTGTACTGTGCAAGCATAGTAAGAAGTGAGAAATGTAAAACTGTGGTTTCAGACAGTTAAAGGTAGTGAACCTTCAGTAATCCTAAAGAGAGCTCCATCTTCAAAAAAAAGCATGGAACTATGTTGATGGTAATAACCATTTGTGTAGGCACACATGCTTCAGTCCACCTACCTGCATTCCAGACATAATTGCAAGAAACACAAGTACATCTCTATGCAAATATTTTATTCCCCAGCTAATTAAAAATACACAAAAAGAGAAAAAAATCACACAGAGTATCTGCTTTAATCAAACTTTCTAAGTGAGGAACATAAGGACAGGTTAATTTAATCAAGCATGATTAAACCACTAATAAACCTCAAGACAGGATTAAGTAAAATCTTTCAAGCATTTCCTTCTTCCTAACATCTCTTTACTCTTGATTCAATCAAATATTGCTACTTTCTTCTACCACCTGTTTTGAGCAGTGAGCCGCAAAACGTCAGGTTGCAGCAGCTGTTAAGATAATGATGATATAACTAGCATCCCAGTTCTGTTCCAGTTTCCCTACATCCATCAAATGAAGGTTGTACAACTGCCAGACATCACATAGGTAAACAAGTAAAATAAAACAAAACTCATAGGTAGAACAGCAGTCTATCAGATGCTGAGATAAAGTACATGGGTAGGACAAGAAAGCAATCAAAACTAGTTGAATACTCCCCTAGTTTCCAGCTTTGTGGAGACTGGGGTTATTCACCTTCATACCACTGATGATTTTACAGACTTGCAGTGCACCTACCTCATTCCTCCATCTGCTGTCATGCTCAAGTTGTCCCTGAACAATTCTAGCACCAGAGGTGCTCCAGTTTTGCCACCCCTTCTGATCAAAGCTGCAATTCCTGTCCCCAAGCAAGGCAGCTTGATCATGGTAATATTCTGGTCAGAGACTAATTGACCCACCCATCTATACAAGTGAATATTAGCACCAGAAAGAGAGAAGTGCAGCAATTCCTTAGACTACACTGCCACTAAGACATCAGCATAGGATGCTCCTGCTTTCCTTATATCAAGCCTATCTCATATATATGTAATGATTTCCACTGCTCTTCCTCCACCTCCTTGATTAGCCCAAACACAGTGCTGCATACTAGCCAAGGGAGAGTCCGGAACACGAGTAGAGAACAGAGTACTCGAATCTGGACAAAGAAAGGATTAATATACTGGCATAATATGGTCTTTTATTCTGCATTTCATTCCTTAAGTGATAATTTTTACTATTCTATTTACTTTTTTTTTCACTACATCTTGAACTCACTTTTCAGAGTATCATGCACAGTGATTCTCAGATGTTTTCTTCCCCAGATGCTGCAGAAAACCATAAGAACACCACTGCTTTTGTATTCCTAGTAACACAACGTGCAGTAAGAACAGCTGAAGAATTACTCAACCTAAGCCTGAAAGATGCTTACTTTGCTATTGAACACAATTTTTATGACAATCGTGACAAAACAGTAGCTTAGAAGAGCAAGGAAATACAGCAAAAAAAAAAAAAAAATCAGCAAAACAATTTACACTACAAAAAATATTCACTGATACAAATATGGAACAGGTAATATTATTTCCAAAGTGATTAAACATAAATAGTTTACTACACAGCAGAAAAGAAGAAAAGTTTATTTTAACCCTTTATAAACTTCTTCTCAAGAGCAAATATGGGAAGAGGAAGAAGGTAAACACTCCAAGTATCCATCAGATTTATGGTACAGCATTGCCATAGACATAAGCATGTGGAAAATTTTTATAAGCATATGGAAATATTTGAGTTATTTTTCATTTGAAAAAAATAAAACTCTTGACTTCATAATATAAAAACAGTTGTCAAATAATTCCGGTAAACCATGTAAGCTTTGCTTCAATCTCTATTATCTACAGTTTGATTACTCTTTCCAGAGAGCTATCAGGTTACTTTAAAAAACCTCTAATCTGATCCTGTTCTGTCTACTGTGAAGAAACAGTATGTGAAGAACACAGGCTTATCACAAAGTCGGGTCAAAACCTAGGGAGTGACTGTTAGCTGTCATGCAAGTGTCAGGAGGGTTTAAATACTTTCTTTGGGCACGGAGAAATCTTGCATGTAGGCACCAGAAACCGGCAAGGAAAAAGAAACCTCTAGAGGAGCAACAGCTCTGCTCTCACTGATCTCCGGATGGATGAGGCCCGTGCAGCTCTTACCAGTTCGTCGGGTGCCCGCAGGGGATCAAACTGCAATTTCACACTGCCAGTAACTCCCCGCAGCAGTAACGCTCTGAGACCGCCGAGAAAAAGCGACCCCGAATCTGTGCAGCTCTGGAGTCTGCGGGGTCCGAGACACCGGCGGCGTGCGGTGCCCCCGGCAGCTCTCAGGCTGAGCTCACTTCTTTCCCCCCGGGTCCAGCCGAGCCGCAACCCCGCGCCCGACGCCCAGCCCGCTTCTCCGCTCCGGGCACGCCCGAGGCCGCTGTGACCGGCTCAGCTCGGCGCTGCCTGGCACGGCTCGGCTCGGCTCGGCGCTGCCTGGCTCGGCTCGGCACGGCCCCACTCACCCGCCTGACTCTGCACGGCGCGGCCCAGCTCTCCGCTGCCTCAGTCCCTGCCGCCTCCCGTCGCTTCCGGCCCCGCCCCGCCCCTGGCTTCTACAATTGCTCCTGCTTTGAAATCTAAAATTATGTCTTCTAAAGAAACGAGGGTTATGTTTGGAACGGACTTTAAAAATTACCTAGTAAAGATCGTCTTCACTCGGACAGTGTAAAACAGTGTTACTGCCTCAAAAAAGGGAGATGTGGGAAAGATGGCTCTAGCTAGAATGCTGGCAGCAGAGAAACTAGAGTTTTGTCTCAGCCCTTTGACATGGAGTACAAACACTCCATTCCTGTACAAGTGACATATGAGTCTGCCTTGCCTGTGACAGTGTCATAACGTTGCCTGATACTGAATTGCAACACAGGCTATTTCAGATCAGGCAGAGGGGAAAAACACAGCGTGATAAAGTAGACATGAAAATGCACTGCCATAGGAAACTGCAGATTCTAAACCCACAAGCACTGCTGTCGTGCAGATAGAATTTGAATATGCCTTAATTCAGGCTGGACCAGAATATGGACAAGGCTCTTTCCAGCTCTTATTTCTTGCTATGACAAAATGTGAAAGGAGACAAACATGAGCTAAAAAATAGGACATGCTGGAGGTTAGATAATTATGACAGATAATTACAGTGTATAAAGTGATGCATACTTACAGCATTTCATGTATTTGCAGCCTATAGAGTGAACAGTATCTCTGTGGTTATACCTAAGTGAATTACCTCAATAATGCAGAAAACAAGGATGCCAGATCCTTTTTATTCAAGCCCTATCCCAACACATTTAGCATTGACATGTTACATTTGGGAAGTTTCTCCAGCTAACCCTTTGTAATTCAGTTACTGTCACCTCTAAATTAATTTCCTGAATTCCACAAATTAGGACATGAGAGGACATGGGACACACTACAAACGTGTTCCGAGAAAAGCTTTTCAAAGGTATTACAGGCACATCTGAGAAGCCACATGTATCTAAAAATCAAAGGCTGTTGCTGTACTGTGTAATGGTACAGTCCTGTGTAATACTGGAATGCACACAGTTCTGAATGCTCACACCAGCTTGGTTGGGCTGTCCCAGAACAGGAATCAACGGACACTGCAGACACTTGCACAGAATTCGTTCCCAGCTAAGAAACCATGCAAATAATGACAAAGATAAATATGTGACATTAACTCAGAAGCTTTTAGATGGGTTGTAGTTTTGTTTTACTTGTGTTATCTCCTTTGATATCCTCACTAATTACTAGTTTTTCAGTTTATTTTTTGCATTCCTTTTTAAGTTTGTAATGAGGAGAAGCAACAGAGCTGCTATGTGCAGTATAGGTACAAAAGCAACAAATACATTTTATTAAAACTAGGCTCTGAAATTTTTGGCCCTTATTGATTCCATTGGAGCACTTGACATGAGATGGAGCAGATTTTTCCATCATCCGAAGAAGATAAATAATAAAATCTTTTGCTAAAAGAATATACTTTCATCCAACAGCTTCCTGGAACAATTAAGCAGATTTCCTGTGTGACGGCAAAGGGCAGTCTAGATAATCAGACCACCTTTAACTTCAAAACCAATAAATTTATTTCTTGGTCTCAGAGATTGAGCCAGAGGTAAGGTATTGTAGCAAGCTTCAGTCTCATAATACAACTACAAATTTTCCTAAAATAGTCGATGTTTTAGCTTCAGAACTATTCACAAGTCTCTCTGATGTGCTACTAGAATTTCAGTAGTTATTTTCAGTTCCTATCTGGAATAAAAGAATGTTCCTTATCTAGGAAAAACTCCATTCAGGCCCATTTCTCCCAGGGGGAAAAAAAAGATCAGGAAGGAAGATGTTTTGACAAACCACTAAAATTCAGCTGTATTTCAGAGCATTTACAATTACTTTGCTCTGTGCAACAGTGTTGCTAATGTAAAAAGTGATTAAACCATGAAAATTTCAAATGAATATTTGTATTTGAAAAGACACAGAAAATCAAGATTCAAAAAATGTCACAGAGGTGCAGTTGTCATCTAAAAAGGACAGGTTAGGGGTGACTGGCCCACGTTTACTCATAAAATAAGAATTCAGGCCCCCTGGGAGAGCTCCTATATTTTAAATGTTCAATTAGTTCCATATAGAAAAATCAAATGCCTCTCCTACAGGAAAGCAGCTCCAAAATGCTTTGATTGAACTTTGCTTCTCTCTCCATACTCTCTGGTTTAGAGAGCATTCTTGGTTTCTGGGGACACAGAATGATAAGTTTTAATGTTCTCTTCCTCGGATGTCCCTGGATCTCTAAATTTCTCAAGTATGTCACTGCAGTGATGTTCACAGATGGTTCATATACAAAGAACAGGAACATGAGAGGACAAGCAGCCCACATGGCTTAATCCAAGACCAGAAGGCACACAGATATCACAGAAATGGTATAAAAACCTGATGACAAAACTCCATCATCTGGGTCATATTCTGAATATATCAATTCACTCACCACACTTTTAAATACAGGCTCCATCTACTTCAAAAGCAGAAAATACTAGACATTATTAGAATCAACAATAAATACCCAGCCAGATCACCTCTGCAAGTTCTTTCTACATTCAGAGCTACCTTGAATGGAAAAAAGATGTCAAATGGGAGTTTCCAGTGCATTTGAGGCTGGCCTTGTGGAGGTTCTGGCCAATCTGTCATGTCAGTGAAGGTAACGACAGTTGTCACAGGCACCATGCTCATGTTTAGAAACTGCAACAAGAAGGAAAGCAGAAAGAGTTTAGCAGTCTTAATACAAAAGGCATACCCCTCCTCAATTTTCTAATGGGACTCACTGTAGATGACTGGCAAGCATGACGTCTTTGGGATGCTAAGAGTTAAGCATCCTAAGTTTTCAGAGGAGTAAGACCTCTTTCCCAAAATTGATACTTAGCATGTAAATTTGAGGGTGTAGTGAAGATCAGTAGCTACTGTGCACTGTATGCTAGCGATCTCCAAAATGGCTGCAGTGACTTAAGCTCTGCTACAGTACGCCTTCTACTCAGAGGAAAGACATACCAACTACTTAGTAATAAGAACAGATGCAAGCTAGCTTTATATTTTATAAAAGATCAGCTGGCTCTTTGGACAAGTGCTTGCTACCAGAAAGAACTGACACAAGATGCAATCCTATCAATAAATGTCAATAAACTAAAGCAGGGACCCAATACAATTTAAATTTATTGCTCACATTTTAGGATGTTGTTTCAGGAAGGAGACAGATCAGTGAAGATCACACAGGGGACTGAACCTCTAAGGCCTCAGCTTTTTCCTGTTTTAACGGAATGCTGCAAGAAAACTAATATACTAGCTCTTTGAACTACATGGAGTTTCATGGCTACCTTGGGCTGATTTAAGACCATGCTGCTCCCAAAAGAGCAACCTCACTCCCTGCCCCACTTCTGCATGCTAACATTTGAGAGGGCATTTACTGGCAGCACACCTTCTGTGCTTGCACTGGTTTAAGCCAACCTGTGAAACTACCACCTCAATCACTTCCCTGAGAAGAATTTCTAAGATTGCCTTTACAGTAAAATTCTGTAGGAAGCATTCAAAAAATTTGCAAGATAGAGTTCATGACTCTTAAGAAAAAAATGCTGCAACTCTTACTGGGGAATTTTTGTGGCATCCCGCAAAGCAAATTAAAAAAATAAATAAATATTTATTTATTAAAGAAAAAAAATTAACAATGCATTGCATCCAGTCTTGGTTCTACATGGAGTGTGTAAAGAGGCATCATGAGCAGATTCCTTGTGCACCTTTGCATCTGCAGCACCATTCCTGAGAGCATCAGCATGAGGACCTTCAACCAGCTGTGGGTCCATCCCCCAGGCCTGCTCTGCTGCCCAAAGGTGGCCCCTGAGCAGTTCCTGCTCCAGAATGGCTACAAGACACTGCTGAGGCTATTTCTTCTCTCATCACCTGGAAACTTCGCTCACTTACAAGGTGTCCTAATGTTCCTGCTTCCAGCCAGTTTAACACCTTCTTGACCACCATGCCAGATCAGTCCTTGATCACAACTCACCACTGCTGAGCAGTTACAAGTAGAATTTCCCCAACACTTCTGAGAGATTTAAGTTCTCCTATCAAAGTGTAAACACACTCAAAAACAGGCTAAGTTGCCCTAGTCAACAAGAAGCCTCAAGATGATTGATTTAAGTGTCTGGACCTTCAAAAACTGCCTTAAAATCAGAGAGATTAGTGCAGGGAAAAAAACTCCATACACAATCCCTCCTGAACAGCTGAAGGAGAAGGCAATCATTAGCAACTTCCAGCATGCTCTTGTAGAACTCTACATCATTTCAAAACATCCTGTATTTTCATCAAGTCCAAATATAAATGTGATAGATATTGTGGATGGGTGTGGAAATTGGGATGTCTTTCCTGGGTTCTCTGTTTTCTGGTCAGTTACCCAGGCAACTTTCCAGAGACACAGTGTTGTCTAAATAAAAAAAGGTTTCTCTAAAGAATATTGAAGGAACTATAGGATAGTTCTCAGATAGAGAATCTGTAGGCTAAAGCTGGGAAGTGGCATAATTTGAAAGTAATGTGCAGCCTAGTATGCTTACAAATAGTCACGCTCCATAACCGCTGGCTACAGAGCAAGTTGGTCCTTTCCTAAAATGTCTTTACTAACAATCCTAATTTGTGGATTTGTGATGTCACTGATGAAGTCAGTACTGATTTTAATGGCATGAGGTTTTTTTGCTGCCAGAAACTTGCTTTCTTATAATTAGCTTTGCAATATACCTTAAAGGTCTAAAGTAATTAGCATCAGTTGCTCAAGCAAATCAAATCTGAATCTCATTCTTATTGATTAGCTAGTCCTGAGGGATTTGCACCCTACACTTTTACTAGGAATGCAAGTCTTCTTCCTCAGACACAAGTTTTATTAAGGAAGCCATGAAATAGATGATTTAAAAAATATTTTCATGGGGTGGAGGTATCACTTTGCCTCAGGGCAATATGAGTTTTACATGGTTAACATCTTCCTATCCTCTTCATGTATTTTGCAAGAAGGGAGAACAAAAGGGTACCACGACATGCATTCAAACAAGTGTGTAAAATCTCATTTAGACTGAGTCTTAATTTCAAAGAGTGTTAACAGATCAGACAGATACCTTCCTCACAGTCATGAAGATGCCCGGGCGGGTGTCAGCTGCTTTCCCTAAAGCCCTTACAGAGAAGTGTAAGCCTTGAAATATTTCTGCTGCCCAAAAGACTATGTGATATCAAAAAAAAAAAAAAAAATCACAATGAGATCCACTGACACATGCTTGAAAAAGCCTGCTCATTGTCCTCTGTGGTCATGTTAGCTGACACATTCCTGCTGACATCACAAAATCACAGAATGGTCTGGGCTGGAAGGGACCTTTAAAGGTCATTTAGTTCAAGCCTTCTATGATGAACAAGGATGCCTTCAACTGTATCAGGTAGCTCAGAACTCCAACCACCTGGCCTTGAATACCCTCTTTCTGGCTTGCAGCCTTCCTCCCCAGTTCTCCAAATATGCTGCCATCAGCATCAGCCACTTCCTCAGCTACCTACTGGTTATTTCAGAAGCTCTAGAGGAACAGAAATATCTCCTTGCATAGATTATCAGCATTCTATGGAGTCTGTGAAATATTACTAAACTCAAATCCCACATCAAGGCTTTAAGAGACAACTAAATATAAAACATGGAGTTACTGGATGTTTGTAACTACAACTTTATACCATACTACAACTTTAAACCATAACTGAAAGTTTAAAGATTGAGTCCTTAAGTGGCAGAAAGTGGTTCAGAGGTGGAAAGAAAGTATCTTTTCCAGCTGTACAACTGAGTGAGGACAGTACTGAAAAGACCACAAAATATCCTTGCTCTATAAAGGCTACCACTGCAGCCAGACAACTGCTAAAATTCAATAAATCTCAACTTAGTTTCAAGATAACTTGATTCTTTGGTTCTTAAATAACCTGTAAACGCCCTTTAATTACCTCTGTGTGTGAGGGAGGGTTTTTGATTCCATACCTTGAGGGGCTGACACTGGTAAAAGTGCCGTGTACCCAGTACTTGAGCTTGTGGGTTGGATAGAAGGCCCACTTTAGTCCACAATATCTGTATCTCCAGGGTCACAGGAACCATACAACAGGAAGTGCAATTCACAGCCTGAAAATAAAATATACACTAATCAGTTTAATATAGTGTTTTAAAAGTGATAAAGAACCATTATGGCCAAAGTGTAATATTTTGGATAATACAGTGACCTGTATTATCCAAAATATTACACCTTGGCCATAATGGTCCTTTGAAGTGATTGATTCAGAAACTGAATCAATCACTTCAGTCCTATCTCTGTAACTTCTGGTCACATCAACCACCCATTCTGGAGCTACATACATCTCATTGTCATCTCAGTTCCAATTAGAATTTGTCTCAGCTTTACGTCTTGGATTTCACATTCCACTTAGCCATACCCCCACAGATTAACAATCATTACAATACAATTGGCTCACAAACTTTAACTTTATTAGGTAATATAATAGGATATAAATATCCTATAAAAATATTCCCTATTCTGGAAAAGCAGAAAGGATTATAATTATAATTAATAGGAAGTAGCCAGCTATTATCAGTTCTAAAAGGCCATCAGAAAACAATATAATATAACACTGGATTCAGTATTTAACTTTTTGCCCATTTAAATAGCAGGAACAGGATTCAAGAGATAGGAAATCTGTGAGGGTTTGTTGAGTTTGAGGGTTTTTTTTGTTAATACTCTAATAATATGAACCATACTGACTGCTTTCACATAATAAGACCCCTGAGAGTCATAGGATCATTATACAAAAGAAGTCCAGATACCCCCACCTCCCCAAGGCAATACAAAGATGTGAAAGGAAAAAATATTTACAGGTGGTTTTTTGCATTCATATTACCTGCACACTGCAGTTCTGAATCAGAATGGTCATCAACTCTTCTGCCTGGTTTGAATGAGCACTGCCAGTTATAGCAAAGGCTTCTGTTCTGTTCATCCCCTGAAAAGCCTTGTATAACTTCTGCTGTATGTAGCTACAGTTACTGTCTTCCAGTGTTGGGGATAGGCTGGAAGTGAGAAAAGAACACCTTTAAGGAAGTGATTTCCATGAAAAAAAAAAAAAAAAAAAAAAAAAAGCGCCCAAACCACTATCACACTTATCAACATCCTTTCTTTGCAATAAGTATTTCTTCTGCTCTTAAAATGGGTCAACAAGTATTGGTATTAAACAGATGCAGTTTCAATCCTCTCAGCAATGAGAAAGGAGAAGAATATGGCAGGGATAATGATGAGGAAAACTGACAGCTCTTCAGTCATCTTACTGCATCAGTGGTCCTACACTTGCCCTGTCAACTCTACTCTTGCCCAAGACATATTGCCAGACTAGAGCCTCAAAATGTCCCAGAAGACCTTCACAATGTTCAGATTATTCTAGCAGTCCACCATCTTTCCTATACATTCTCTTAGGAGTATGAGAAAGATCGGTAGAGACACATTGGAGAACTCAGGGAAGGACCTAGGCTCCACAGCAGCACATGAGAGACTACAGAAAAACATGCTGAGTCCACAACTTCCAACTGCTAGAAAGGATGACTGCAGAGTGTGTTGTTACCTGATTTTGCAGCCTGTTCTCATATTCCTTCCAAATTGTACTGTGTGCCTGAGAAATTGTGAACAACTTCCATCACTTTCACTCCTTAATATGCTCATCTGACAGACTGCACATCAAGAAGCCAAACAAAGGTATAAACAAGACAACATACAACACTCGTATTTAACAATCCACTCACCCCATATTCCTCCTTATCCCTATTAGGGCACCATAAAAGTTCAGACAGTGCAGTAACAGAAATCAAAAAAAGCCCCAGTGATAAACAACAACTCACAGCAGAAAAAGGATACATGTTGCATGGCACCACTGTTTGCAATCACCAGTGGTGCTCCAGTATTATAGCCAGGGTTTCCACTTCTAGGCAACATATGAGAAAGAGTCCTGGTCTACAAAGAGGAAAAAGAGGAAAATATTAGCACCAATGACATCCATTCATCTCCAAAGATCAAATTTGCATTCTCAAAAATGTAAATGTAAGCTGTTTTTTGAATGACAGATTATGATATACTACTTAAACTATTTGTTTCCAAGGACTCTTTCTTACCTGGCTAATTTTATTTGCAGTCCAGGTGGTAAAAAACTAAATGTCAGTATCCTGATATGTGGATAATACCAGGAAAGCTCTCAATACAATGAATTGCTATCACTCAACATTTGTCTCTGAGGAAGTGAACAGATAGTCAGGGCGATTCTACAGAAGAACTGCAGAACAAACCCAGCTTTGACCCTGATTTTTAGTGGACCATTCTACTTCTAAACGGTTGTATGTCACTCTGACCATAACTTCAACAAATTTGCATTGCATGCTTACCAACTCCTGAGGTCATCACTTATCCAATTTTACATTGCCTCCATGGGACACGATTTATGTGAACTTAACACACATTAGTATTTCCCAGATTTCTACCCCCTTCAAAGTAACTTTCTTTCCTGCTGCACAGGCAAAGTTAAGTACCTGGAATAAATTTAGTAACTTCTTTCACAAACACTAAACACGTCAGACACAGCCTAGCTTCAACCCTTTCCTTCACAAGGCAATGCTGCTGACTTATCATCTTCCCTTCTACCTCAACAAACAAACAAATAAAAACAAAAAACAACGCCCCCCAGAAAAACAAACCCAAATCCCCCAGCAAAACAAACCAAAAAACAAACCCTCCTCAAAAGAAACAAACAAAAAAAACCCCAAACAAAACAGCCCAAAACCAAACCAAACAAACAAAAACAACCCAAAATCCTACCCTCAAAAAAAACACCAAAAACCCCCAAACAAACTAAAAACACCTAAAACCAAACCACCGAACCAAGAGTAAAAATAGTCATATAAAAATAATCAGCTCCTTGAAATTTGTGCAATGAAAGATTGTATGCTTGTGCTGAGCCTGCATTTTTCTACTACCATGCTTTATTTGAGACCAGAAATGCCTCTCCTCTTCTATCATCTGCACCCCAGGGTTCTGTTACTACTATACCACAGTGAAACTGCTCTAACGTCTTCAGGTGTCTTCAGTACAAAAATGAACCACAAGCTACAGACTACAAATGTGGTAAAATTCCAGGGACGATAGGAATACTAACCCAGAAGTGCATGGTGAAGCGCTGCTGCAGAGAGGATCCGGAGTTCACAGAGATGTTGCTGACTTTGAACTGGACAGAAACACTCTGAATCCCACTTGTGCCACTATATTCTATCTCATAGATCACCTGAAAGTCCAATTCAGAGAATAACAGGAGACAGAGTAAGGTAATAGGGCAATGGGTTTAAGCCTGTGGTAAGCTGCTCAAAAAGGAAAGAAGATTCACATACCTCAGAAACAACATTGGTGCATGTATCGTCTTTCATGTGGGGAGCTCCAGGTGGTGAGACTGCAGTGACATTTACCTGGAGACAGTAAGCATATTAACAATTAGTAACTGTTTATAAGAAGAGTGCACTTTTTACTCTTTTTCACTGCTTTTCCATCCAAGTCAGATTTACCTCCTTGCTGTGAGCTGGGGGGCACATCACACTGCTCCAGATCCCCAATCTTTTTCCAGGAAAACAAGCTACCTCCCTGACTTTAGTCCTATCTATGCCCTTTCATTGAAAAATACACCCTTATTTATGTCCTTTTTTTCTATAATGTCCTGCTTTTGTCAAGAAAAATCTTGTCTTAGACACAGCACAATCCCGTTTTCCCTTCAGAACCAGAAATTCTTTTCATTGGCAACAGAGACTGACCTTCATGGATGGCATAACGGTGTCATTAATTGGGACCTGGAGAAAATAAGCAAACCATTTTACAAAACCAATAAAAAGTGAAGTAAATTGCTGTGTTTGTGACTAAAGCCATAAAGTAATTACAAAATAATCTGAATATTATATTGACAAAAATACTTTGCTTATTCCCAATGCGAAAAGTCATAATTTTGTAATCTATAAATCACAGACACAGTTCACAGAAGGTATTTTAAAATACCAAAAGACAAATTTAAGCTTGGCCTAGTTAAAGTCCTGCAGAATGCAGGTACTTTTAAGTGTCACATCTCTGATCCATTCCTGAAACTCCATCTTCTGCAATCAAGTAAGTACTTCAGCATCCAGTTAAGGAAAACTGTACTTTTGCAACAGTGACAAGAAAGCCCTGAAAACATGAATTAAATCTGATCAATAGACTATTCTCTACTAGTTAAGTAGATTTAGATTTCCAGTATAAGGGTATACTGAGTCTTCAGCCTTAATAAGTACTCCTATTTACAATGTTGTTTCCTCTTGGAAAAGCAGAAAAACTCTACAAGGTGAGAGGAGACATTTTCATATAAGCATTCAGTAAAACCAGAGGGATGAACCCAGAACAGTAAACTGGTTACTTTGAATTTATTGTCAGGATAAATAGTAGAGAAATTGATATGGATATAAATAGAGCTAATATTAATAAGGGGCCATCAGTATGATTTTAGAGATAGCACTTTATGTAAAAAAAACACCCTAATTCTTTACTGAGAACATGTACTGCTTGGCTGATCAAGCTGATGGAACAGACAGGAATACTTTGATAAACAACCTGTTTAAAATGCAAGAGAATTTTAGATAGGCCATTAGAACTATGAAGTATCAATGAAGTACCTGTTAAATACACTAAGAATTTGCTAATGACAGAAATTTATTGGAGAGTAGTTTGAATTGAATTGACCACTAGTCATGACATTTTTAACATGTTTCCTGTCATAGCATGGTGTCCCCGACATGGTGATAATTAGTATTAACTCTATGATTCTAGAAGGCTGATCAATTATTTTATTATACTATACTTATTAAGAAACTCATTGCCCTTATCAACAGTCCAATACATTCTTGAATCTAAACACTATCACCATTGGCCAATTAAGAAATCACCCTTTGGTAATCAAATCTCCATAACACATTCTGCATGTTTACAACAACAGGTGCAGCAAGTGAAGGTAAGAATTGTTTATCATTCTTTTCTCTGATCTTCTCACAGCTTTCCCTAGGACAATGCCTGGGAAAGTTGTGCCTGCTGCTCCCTGTGGTCAGAGAGCGGCTACTACAGTTTCCCAGCAAGAAGGCCTCAGCAACTGGGAGATCAGGAATGACATACCAGATGACCTTCAGTTTTACAGTTATCTGAAGTCCCAGTGGAAGGCAATGCAAAGTCAAACAACTAAGATTTTGAACAAAAGCAAGAAATCTGAAATGCACCTTTAGCACAGTGAAGTCATGGTAGTAGGAAGCAGCATCTAGGGCAGGGTCAGTCATGCAGCTCTTGCTCAAGTTGGCAAAAATCCGAGTACAACTTGTGGTTTTAGTGTCCAGGAAGCCTGGGTGAGTTAAGACATGACAACAGATAAAACAGAAGCAAACCACTCAAAGATATTCTTCTGCCTTTACTAACCAGCAGGATTTCCATCAACACAAAGTCCACTGGCTCCCATTTTTATTGGCTGTCTAAGCATGCTCAATACAGATGACGAATCATAGTAGATGAGGATTGGATCACCAGCCTGAAAAGAGAATTTGGAGAAATCACAAAGTTACAGTGGAATACTAATGCCAAGGGCAAGAGACGTATCTATACTTCTTTGTGTACATCCAGTTTTGTCTAAAAGGTTGTCCAACCTCTTAAATACAAGGCAACTGACCAGAAATACTTTATACACTAAGGAATGGAAAGTACTGAGAGATAAACAGTTCAACAATAAGCTCTGGTAACCAGGAGGGCCACCTGTGTCCTGGGGTGCATCTGGCTCAGCATCACCAGCTGCTACCACTCTGCTCTGCATGCGGGTATGGCCTCACCTTGAGTCCTGAGGACACTTTTGGGTGCCAAAATATAAGCCATAAAGCTGTTGGAGAGCATCCAAAAGAGGGCTACAAAGATGGTGAAGGGTCTCCAGGGGAAGCCATACAAGGAATGGCTAAAGTCACTTGGCTTGTTGAACCTGGAGGAGACTGAGGGGAGATCTCATTGCAATCTGCAGCTTCCTCCCAAGGGGCAGACACTGACCTCTGCTCTCTGTGACAAGGGACAGGACTCAAAGAAACTGCTGGAAGTGTGTCAGGGGAGGCTCAGGCTGGATATCAGGATAAGGTTCTTCCCCAGAGGCTGGTTGAGCCCTGAACAGGCTCCTCAGGGAATGGTCACAGTCCCAAGGCTGACAGAGCCCAAGAAGCATTTGGACAACACTCTCAGGCACAGGGTGGGATTGCTGGGGCATCCTGTGCAGGGCCAGCAGCTGGACTCAATGATCCTTGTCCCATTCAACTCAGGATATGCTATGATCCTACGATACTATGGTTTCTAGGTACAAAATAAGAATCTTTCAATCTGTTCTCATTAGACATCATTACAGAGAGGTTTAATAAAAGCATATGTGCAAATTGATTGCTATTTTCTTTCAACTCACACGATAAAAAGCAGAGAACGATGGCTGAATTTGTGATGGTGCTAAGAAAGAGTGCCTGCCATACTTCTCCAAGGACTCCACAAAATCAGATTCTTTGATATCCTGTGGCTGTTGAAAATAGTTCAGCTTTGCTAGAGTTTGAAAAGAGAAAAAAAAAAAGAAATCCTCCAATATTAGGTTACTAGAAAAAAGAGTAAATACTGTGCCAATATTTTTAAGAGAAATAACTTTAGTAATTGTAAGCTAGTTGGTGCCTTATATTAATTAATCCATAGTAACACTTATAATAGGCTAATATGATCTACAGAACAGGATGATATCATGCGTACAGTTCATGGGAAACAAATATTAATACACAAAGTGATTTTCCAAAAAGCATGAGACTCCTTAACAGCAATATTAATATGTGCTGTAATTTCCATGAGATGCCCATATTAGACACACATGAAATCTGAATTACAAATTTAATTACCCATTTGTGAGTAACCTTAAATGGATTCAAAATAATTAAGTAAAACTGGTAACTGGTAAAACCCAAGATAAGTATGAACAGACAATAAGCATCCTAAAAAAACCCACACTTTCTATTGGTATCCAACAGTGATACCTTCCTGATTTGGTGGTATTCAATGGTATGGTTATGATGCTATAATGTATTAATTTATTACTGCTAAAGCACTGTTATAAAATGGTAAATTATTAAAGGCATTCTACATACTCATCCTAATACGAATAACTTTTCAATGCATTCAAATAAAGCATCTTAGAAGACTCAAGGATTACATATTCTACTGACAAGAAAAAGTGGCAGTATTCTCAATGACAGTAGTACCAAAAAGAATTTACATAATCCCGTAGATTTTGGGGGAAAAAAAGAACAGCAAAAAAAGAACCTTAAGCTCTCAATGCAATTCTGCTTTTCAAGGGCAGAGCAGATGCTCAAAGTTACAGCACAGCTAGCAGAAACAAAAGCTTTTTAATATCCAAATACAGTATTAATTAAGCAGTCGAATCTTTCAAGGAGATAAAAGTCAAGGAAATATTAAGCTCCTACAAGGTTCACGAAAATAGGAGCGCACAGCAACTTGCTTAATAGTCACTTAGGGTATCCTCATTAGACTGAAAAAGAAAACATTTGCAGTTGCACTGCTCACAGCCATTTAACTGATTTGGGATCCAGTTCATGACATACTCTTCCATTATCAAAGCTGAATACTTGCTACCACAGGTTAACAAGATTACATAATGCAAAATATACCTGAAAACTGGAAGGAAATGCTTTCTGCAACAAAACTTAAGATATTCAAACTGCTTAAGTTTAGATACTAAAGGATATTTAATCTCATAGGAAAAGGCAAAATAAAATTTAATCTGCTAGTAATGGTTTCAACAAGGTGAAGTCAACCTGTGCATGACTTTCACCGGCCACAATAATTCATTAGGGCTTGATTATGTCTCTGGCAATGGTAGCTCATCACACCATCCTGGAAAAGCTGCTGCCACAATCAGTTGAATAAAATATATGAGTTTCTGTATTTCATGGGAAAGGCCACCAGGGAGAAGGCTGTTTCTACAAGAAAACGTTATGATCCTTCAGGTGATCCCAAAAAAAGTCTTCCCCATATGTTCTTCCAACAAGCACAGAAAAGGCCATATGAACAGTGAATTCTGTTCCTAGGGTGCTACAACTAACATACACATGCAGTCAAATGTTTAGGCCTCCTCAGTGGGCCTCATCATGTGATAGATACAGGGCCCAAATATCAAATGACTAAAAAAATCTGGTGCCATCAAACTGGACAAAGATGTTCTCTTCTGTGCATAACATTAAAAATTCAGAATCCTTTTAATCTAACCTTTAAGATATTATAAGTGGTGTGGGAAAAGGGTAAAATTTAGATTCCAAGTTACAGGCTGAAAAGCCCAGGACCCTGACAGTACTTTAAGCTGTGGTTAAACCCTTATCTAAATTCATCTTTACTGTGAGACCTACTGAAAATTGGAATGGATAAAGTTCTAGTGCTACTACCTATCATACTATATATTATGAAGCTCTTATAATTTCTTGGTTCTTCCCTGTACCCAAAACACTCAGACAAAATCTATAAAGAGCTGAAAGCAAGACAAGATAATAAAAAGCTAACCTTGTTTTGACTAGCTGTTGTACCTGTTAATCTCCTGAGCCCCTCCCAACCTAAAACACTCAAAAATTTAGGTCAGAAGCAGATGGAATTGTGGGTCACAACTCCCAGACAAATAAAACAAAAGAGAAAATGGTAAGTGTTCAAATGTGAGACACTGTGAGACACAATGTGGAAAGCAAAAAGAGAAAATAATGTTAATGGCATATCCTACAGGATATATGATTACCAGTGAAAAAAATCACCACCAGCAGAGAAGAAAGGATGAAAATAAGCATATATAATAAAGAATCCAAAACACAGTAAGAAAACACTTTCTGAAAATTATAGTAGTGGTATTCTTTAAATGTCAACCCTTATCTGCTGGTCTATGTGTAAACAACTATGTAAGGAATCTCAGATACATAAGCAATTGATAAAGACTTATTTAAAGTGCTCAGGCAGAAACCCTACCCTTAATAATAGTGTAATAATCTTTTCCTTTGCCTTTGGTGATCAGACCCAGATTCATTATGGTCTCCCCGAAACTGTAACAGTCAAAAAAATTAGCAACAATTACAAGGTGCAGTTAAAAAAAATATTCCCTAAGCAGAGGTGATCTATGAACAAAATATGTGAAAAGAAAGATTGCTTACTGTCATCCAACTGCACACAGAACAGTGGATCTCGTCCACCATGATCAGAAATTATGTCTGTAGAATAAGGGGTATTACTTCTGAAAATCAGTGACTCTTCCACACACACTAGACTCACAGACCTGTAAAGACAAGCCCCCCCCCCCAGCAAACTATAAAATGGACCATACTTGCATAATTTCATATTTTACATTACATAATGCCAAAAATGCAACACAGTTTTATTTTATGAAAATAAACTTTTCATCAGTTTACATGAGCTGTTGTACAGTCTGCATAGATAATCAATGACAGAAAGCCTCTCTTGTCATTGTAGTAACTTTGTGGACACCCGGTTAGTGTAATTAAAAATCACTCTGACATTTCCTGGGGAAAAAAAGTGATTAAAAACAAAATCAGTGCCCATATATTACAGCTCCTCTCGGTCCGCATCACAAGGTCAATCTACAAAGAGAGATTTTACTCTCTAATAGCTGAAACTATCTTCCTCACTGACAGTGTCTCGAGGTCTGTACTTGTTTGACCGTCTCCTCATAGCACTCCAAAGCTCCGTTTACTTAAACCCAGTCTTCCCAGCTCCCCCCGCCAGACGCCTCATCACGGAGTAACCAAGCCTCGCTTCATCTCGGCCACTGTGCTGTCGGCCCCGGGAAGCCTTTCCCAGTCCCCGGCCCAGCACGAAGACGTCTCTGGGCCCGGGACCGCGGCAACATCACCGCGAAGCACAGGCGGCCAAGCCACAGTTCCCGCCGGGAGCCCGGCCAGGGCCCGGTGTCCGGGCCCGCCTCGGCCCGCTCCGGCGCCTGCAGCGGCAGAAGCCCATCCCCTACCCACCTGCTGCCGCCGGAGCGCTGCGAAGCGCCCGCAGGGCTGAGGGCGGGCAGCGACAGCAGGAGCAGGGACAGGGACAGGAGCAGCGACAGCGGCAGCACCACGCGAGACCCGCGCATGGCCGCACACCAAGCGGGACACCCCGCGGAGCCACTGCGCCTGCGCGGCCGAAAGGGGCGGGGCCGGGGCAACGCTCTTGTAAAAGGGCGTGTTTAAAAGAGAGAATTTCAGGTAACTGTAGCTACTCTATGTTGACAGCTATTAGAAATCATCTACCATTAATGAATTCATACTATGTCATAATGACTGAGTTAAGAGCAGTTGTGTCTAACATTCAACATGAGCTACCCTATTCTGCGATCATTTATATAATTTCTATTAAATTATGTAAATTGAGTGGGTCACTAAGCAATCACTGCTTTACATTTCGTCAGAGTGCATAAATTGGTCTGCAGAGCTGCCTAGGTAAAAACACAGTGTTTCGCTAATTCTAGACTTTGTATCACAAGCATTTCTACACAGTGGACCAGATGAGAGGAGACTCTTAATTTTGACATTATGAAAATGTTTCCCAAACAAATGCCAAAGCTTAGTTAAAATTCCACTCAGATAAGTCCTGCGAGAGTTTGGCTTTTACAGTTGTATCTTTTAAATAAAAATATTTTTTGTGGTACTTTTTGTGAGGTTCTTTGTCATGCAATATCTACCTAACATCTGAATCTGACTGGCACAATATAGTGGAGATTAAAAAGTCAGTATGTGTTCAAGGAGTCAAATAAGCCAAATTCATGAAAGGAAGCATGCCAGAGGTTGTCAAAAATGCAGATACTGTAACAGGGCCTGCTCAAGTTTGCTGGTTTTGAGCTGTTAGAAGCTTCAGGGATTCCTTACTCTGGAAATACTGCAATACCCTGTTTGAAACTCTTCCTTAGCCTTTTACTACTCATCTCTGTCAAAGGAAAGCTCACTGGCTAGGCCTCTGTTCTGATCCAGTTTCATTCCTATGTTCAGTTTGTACTTCAGATTTTCATCAGAAGCCAAGATGGAGAAGAGATACCTTAAGCCATTACATTTAGGCAGGTGAGGACAGCATAGAAAACAGAGGCATTGTGTCATTGGATATTTACTTATTTACTGTCTTTCATTCTATATAAAATACTGCCACTCCTCAGTAGATTAACTGCTTCAGTGATTTAGTTATAAGTGCTTTCTAGAAACAAGTAACTAAATTTAAATAAAACCAGGTTGATTTAAACTTTTATTCAAATTGATAATTGAAAATCATTTTATAATTCAAGTTATGTGATCATGACCAATTTCTGAACAAAGAGAATAAGATGCGTAATGTCTATAGACAATACTTCCAGTTTGTCTAAATCTCTTTGCAACCTTTTGTTTCTCCCCTTCATTGCTCTGTGTGCATTCATGGCTCTACATTAGTATGCAGTTTGGGAATAAACAGAATATATATGTCTAGTCTCCTCAAGGTCACACACAAATTCCACGGTATGTAATGAGAAGGGACAGCACCCACAGTACAGCTAATGAAGTTGGCCTCAATCTGCCTTAGGACAGAACAGAAAGAAAGGAGCAACAGGTGAGAAAATGTTATGGAAAACCATTTTTGTATATTCTTACATGTTAAAAAACACACTGCATCAAAGCCCTCTGAGAGGGACAAACATGTAACACACGAAATGAGATGTTTGAACCTGCAAACCAGAGTGCAAAAGAATCAGGATGTAATTATAAAAAAAAGAAGATGGAGCAAAGCAATGGTTCCTTTCACATCTATATAATTCTCATTAGAGAGTACTTGGTCTGTACTATTTCTCATTCTCTCTAGACTCACCTTGCCTGTAGGAGGACTGGAATCAGGCATGTTATCTAGTACCTCATCTATTCAAGGAAAATAAAAGAAATCCTATAGAAGGCAAGTGGACTGTAAAGTAATCTCCCTGGTGCACTTCCTTTTGACCATTTACAGGAGATGCTCTATTTTTAAAGTTTTTACTATGTGGGTTAATATGTCTACTTTAATCTCTCATTTGTACAGTCATGTGACTCTAATAGCAGTAAAGGACACAGACCCTTTGCCAAAAGCTACCAGCAATTTACCACTGGTTTCTGTTTTATAAAGTATCAGGAGATCATAACTTGTTGCATAACAACTGGGAGAACAAATACCTATTTCTTAAGTTTTCAGATTTGAATACCAGTCATTCTCTATTGGGTTATGATGTTAGAAAAGTCAGAAAGCTTAGTGAGGTGATATATGACCATTGCCCATATATACAATTATTTTCTTTAGCCACTTCCTTGATTTAATTCCTTTCAGTTAACTTAAAAATTAATTCAAATGGTTGATTTTAATTGGTCTTGTTTGTTTCCTTCCATGTTTTCCTGGTTATTTCACCATAACATAATTATTAGATTTTGATAGTCACAAACCATGAGAGCACTTTTCATTATACAGCGGCCAATAATTTTCCATTGAAATTGGAGATAATACAGCCAGACTCTTAACACAGTATCAGAGACTGAAATATTATAGTTTATGACTTAAACATTTTCATGAAAGACCTTTGCTTATTGTAGCAGAACTGTACTACAAAAGCTGCAGAGAAGGCCACCACACCCTGACCGAGGCTTTACACCGCTCGCTGATGAAGATAGGATAAAGCAACAACTCAGGGCTGGGGACATTCACAAAGCACAAGCTTAACACCTTCAGGGTGGAGATCACAGCCCCAGGGCTATCAGCTGCCAGGCTTCGCACAGACCCTGGCACCAAAGGGTGGGAGGAAAAAGAAAAAGGCTTTGTGTGTGTGCTGGAAAATCCTCTGGTCAGAGGCTCAGTGACCGCCCAGCTGAGGGACCCCTTCACCCGGGGAAAAAGCCGCATCCCCGTGAAGGACAGCAGAAGGGGTGTCACGGCCCAACAAAGAGCCCCAAAAGGGCCCCCAGAGCCTGCACCGGAGCGCTGCAGCACCATGCAACAAATCCAGAGTCTTGCAAGGGACAGTGTCAAACTGGCCCCCTGCAAGGGAGGGACGTGAGTGTTCCCACCTCGCCCAAAGCCATATTAATCCATGGGATTCTCTACTCTTCGGTGTGGCGTGGCGGTGACTGGGGACTCTCACTGCCAGGAAGACCAGACCAAAGGGAGCAACGAGAAGTCACTGGGACCCACAGATGTGTGATACGTTTCCACCTAACCCTTGTCAATCTTCCCCGGTTCCCCCAACCCCCGTGCACGCTTCTTTTTCGATTTCTTTATTTTCTCTTTCTTTCTCTTTGCCTCTTTTACTATTAAGTAAAATATATCAATTTTTGGCAACAGCACTTGACCTTGTTTGGGTTTAGTCACATTTTTTGGATATATTTTGAACCTTCAAAATTTTTATGCAGAGAGACTTAGTTTTCTTTGCTCTTCTGCGTTTAAACTGGATCATACCACCCAGGTATTCCATGAGGATGAATAAGTAATAGAAAAATGTTTAGATGTTTATATTATGGTGGCTACTATCTACATTACAGAAGTCAGTTGAGCTTTCACATACTCATTTGTATATCAGGAGACACTAGTCTTACCTGAGTTTGGGATTCTGCCAACAGACATCCAGAAGTGTCTGGACTGTAGCTAAGTAAGAGTTACAAAGTTTGGGTGTAAACATCGTGTATATGTATACCACAGTAAGCCACAGTAAGCTAACATTATATTATCCTCTAACAAGACCAATATATTGCTTTCTGCTTCAGAAATCAACACAGGTTTGCTATAGGTTTTTTTTCCTTGCCCACCTAATTTCAGATTGGTTTTATTTCTGTTCATCAATATTCATAGAAGCAAGACAGTTACTTGATTTAAATGGGTACTGTGGCCAGGGAGGGGTTATGTAGTACAGGTAGGGATTGAGTCTACTCCTGAATTCTTTACAGACCCTTGTACTGGAACAGCCTACTGGTACGGAGTTGCAGTCTAGGTCAAAGTGCAAAGGGTTTAGGTTTAAAATTGAATTTATGTACATAAGCCTTTAAATTGTCTTCATGACCACAGTGATTTCCCTCACAGAATCTGATATGATTCAGTAGGTGAGGGACAGTGGTGAAGCTCTAAACATTTCATTTGGTATGTGTTGGTGTCAGTGCAGTTAGGCAGCTCCTTTTCTTTTCTTTTCTCTTCTCGCTTTGCTTTGCTTTGCTTTTGCTTTGCTTTTGCTTTGCTTTTGCTTTGCTTTGCTTTGTTTTTCCTTCCGTGATCCCAACGTTCTTAGGCATTTTGTTCTGCTTTAGGTGGTGTATGCTTTATTTCCAAAAGTTTCACTTTAGGCGCTCTCAACACGGGGACAAAAATTACTGGTGACAGCATTTCTTAGCACGACGCTCCTCCGCAGGAAGGCTGCCCGTGCCAGCCCTCGAGCCCGTGCCGAGCCCGTGCCCGGCCCGCGCCGCCCGCGGCCGCGGCGGTTTCCGAGCAGCGCCCCGCCCGCGCGCGCAGCCGGGGCCGCGGGGGCGGCTCCGTGCCGGCTCGCCCCGCTCCTCGAGCGGGAGGGACGGGGGGCAGGTCCGCGTGTGTTGCGGGAGCGCTGCCGGGATACGCGCCTGTTGTGGGAACCGCCAGGGGCCGAGGGGCAGCCTGCGGGTGTCTGGCGGGCACCTCCGGCAGCCGCATCCCCGGGCTGCCCGGGCGAGCGTTCGAGACCTTCGGGAAAGCCTCGCGCTCGCGGCTTAGAGGTGCCCCACGCCGCTCGCGGGGAAGCCTCGTCCGGCCGCGGGATGGAGCTGGCGGTGAGGGAGCGGCTGCTCGCCGCAGAGAGAGCAGGAGGTGAGCGGGCGGCCGGCCGCTGCCACCGCGCGACCGCCTTTAAAAAGAAGTGAAATTAAAATCCGACTTCAAATAGGAAAACAGCTTGATCCTAATCTTTTTTCTAAATTCTCTTCCTAGTGTGCTAACGTAGGTGACTTTAAATAGTAAGAGAATTGTTAATGCTTCATCTTAGAACTGTGCCTAACTTCGAACAACGTGTGTGTGACATTGTTTCCCTTATACATTCTTAATTTATTTCTGCAGAGGAGAGAGTGGATATCGTGTAGCTCATATGAATGCAATCATGTCAGT